ATCCACCTAAGTGTCCATCAACAGATGAATGGGGGGATGGTGTATACACACAGAGTGTATACACAGAAGGTGACATAAGCAATCAAATCTTAGAACAGAGCCAGCCCCATTGCACAGCAGTTAGTGCTTTGCAGAGGAAGCTAGATCCCACATAGCCAACTAAGGGTTCTAATCCCAGTTCCTACAGCAACATGCCAGGTGCATTCGCACATATATTTAGAGAACTGGAGGCAAAACTATTGTGGCATGAGGGTCCATTGAGGGGATGCTTTCTCTCTCTCATCTCAAACACTGGCTGCCCCAAATAAACTTATCTTCTAAAAAGCATTTTCTCTCTGAACTCTTCCCATTTCTCTGTAGAACTACAATGATCCCAACCAACCAAACTCAAAATTTATCATTTGACTTTTTGTTCCTTTTTCTGCAGCTAGAGAACTAAAAATCTGTAAGAACCAGGTCCCACCAAGTCTTCGGTCATGCAACCATTTACTGGGTACCATCGATGTGCTAGACGACAAGAAGACAAAAATAAATCATGTCCCCCTAAAGAGTTCCTTCCTCTTTTTTTAGTTTATATATTCCTTGGGGTGGAGGACAACCCTTACGGGGCCCCATTACCATAATATCTCCGCAGCCTTTCCAGCAACCAGGACCATGGTCGAGTCCACAGATGCCTAGCATATTCAGGTCAACCCAGGACTGGCAACCATGGCCTTTCCATATGTACCATATATTCTGGTATCATGCAGCAGCATCTTACCACCTATGCCACTGTGGCTGAGTCAAGTGTCTCTCTCTTGATATCTTCATAGCTATCCCCGATATTTTAGGTGCTCATCATACTACAGTCCCTTCTATATAACCAGCTCGTCACTGCTCAAACTTCTTTAGTCTGCTCACTCCTTCCTAACACTCCACCTCATACAACATCATGATGGCTGAACATGCTCTCGAAAACTAGGAATTCATCTCGCAATTTCTTGCTAAGAAATCTCTAAAAGCGGGCCAGCAGGTGGCCTGGTGGTTAAGGTGCTAGACTCCCACACGGATGTCTGCAGTTTGAGTCCCAGGCCTGATGGCTCGAAAATCACACAAGGCACGTATGCACGTGCCCCCACAATCTCAGGAGAAGAATGGAGAAAGGATTGCAGCATGGCCATCCTCCCTGGGAGGTGATTTCTCACTTTCCCTCTCACTGTCTCTCTCTGGTAAGTGTATGTGCCTTATGGGGTGGTGAGGGGGGAGACTTAAATAAATAATTATCCTGGGACCAACAAATGGCATAATGGTTATGTCACTGGACTCTCACCTAGTTGACCATGGTTCGAGTTCCGGACCCAGTGGCTTAAAACTCATGCCAGGCATGTGTCCATGCCTGCCCAAAATCCCAAGAGGAGAATGGAGAAAGGATTGCCATGTGGCCATCTTCCTGGGGTGGGGGGGGTTGATTTCTCATTTTCTGTCTTTCTGTCTCTTCAGCAAGTGCATGCACCCTATAACAAAAATCTCTCGGTAAAAAAATAAATATCCTTGTATTTAAAAGCAAAAATCTCTAAAGGGTTTCTAGTATTTACAGAACATCTGTAGACTTTATTCAGATAATCAGAGCCCTGTGCATCATCAGGTCATAATCCCCCCCATTAACACACAGTTGTCCCTTCTATCCCCAGCGCCATTTAGCATAAGTTCACAAGTCCCACCCAGCTGGCCTTGAAACTCACTGTGTTTATTCCTGGTTGTATTAGCCCCAAATCGATCTCTCCCTCCCTTTCCACCCATCCTCGGAGCTACAGTTCAAGTTCTGTCTCTTTTCAAATAATGTTTTGAAAAATTATACTCCACAATGGTCTTGCACAAATATATCATATATAATGTTGGCCTAAATCATTCATTTTGACAGTCAATTATAAATATTCATATTTTTATTTCTTATCTCTCCAAACTGACTATAAATTCTTTGAGGTCAGTAAGCAAATCTTGGATTTTCCGTCTTTATTTTCATATGCTCATTTATTTAATCTGTATTTATTGAGGTCCTAGTTTGTGCCCAGAAAAATGCTAGGCATTAGAGGGGCCTGCAGTGCTTTGACACAGTAAACCTAAAATATATTGGTTGGTGAATAAAGTTAACCCTCTTTGCTAACAAGAAGCATATTTATTTAAGAAAAAAATAACTTTTGAGCTCTCTTATTTTTAGATCATTTGACCACAGGAGTCCCATATTTTCAAATAGTCCCTAGTTGTCAATGGCTACAAATTGTAACAGCTGGGTGGCAAATGGATTTAGAATATATTCATTTGTTCATAGTCTCTAGAATTTACTGTAACTTTATAAAGGCTGCTGAATGAATCTTATTGCCATTTTAAGGCTCACATTTTTTTCTTTAATTTGATATACAATGTTATAAATAATTAAAATGCCAAATTATTGAGCTACTTGGTCTCTATAATAACAGGGAACATTTGTAATAATACCAGCTTTATAAGTAAGCCAGAGACCCAGATTTGGCCAGCTATATTAATATATAAAAATTTAGGAAACTGGATGGTTTATTATGATTTAATTGCACAGACTTCTGTTGAGGGTTTATGTAAATTAGTTTATAAATATGCCCATAAAAATAACATTATGATATAATAAATATTCAAGTAAATAAATGCCACCAGACCGTTCTCTTGAATGACAACAAATAATAAGTGGTACAGCCCCAGATGTTTACTTAAATTGACCCCAAAGGAGGGATAGGACCTTGGGTAATCATTATGGTTACTGATGTGCTTTTTATACCAAGATGGAATAAGGTAAAAATAGCTGTTCGATGTGAGTACAACCCATCTGTATAGCTCCCATCCATCATAACGTGCAACAGTGACACTCAGGCTGCTTTGGATTTGAACAGACTGATGCTTTTTGTTTAAAAGGATAGAAGAGGGACCAGCAGTTAGCGTAATGGCTATGTCGCTGGACTCCCACGTAGTCAACCGCGGTTCGAGTTCTGGACCCAGTGGCTTAAACTCACGCCGGGCACGTGTGCGTGTGTGCCCAAGATCCCGAGAGGAGAATGGAGGAGAAGGGATTGCAGTGTGGCCATCCCCCCCTGGGGGATGATTTCTCACTTTCTATCTCTCTGTCTCTCTTTGTCTGTCTGGCAAGCGCACATGCCCTATAGCAAAAACCT